CTCTTTTATTCAATAAAGGCGACTTAGTCCTACTGTCTACGGTTAATCTACCAAAGCATGTAGTGACTAACTTGGGTAGCAGTAAACTACTACCCAAGTACATCGGCCCATTTCGTGTATTGCACCGCCTAGGCAATGCATACACAATCGAGTTACCACGTAAGATGCGAACGCATCCCACGTTTTACGTTGGTCGGCTTAAGCCGTACCATCAGTACGCTGCTTCTTCCGATGAAGAACGCCCTTTCGCCCAAGCATCTCGCAGAGAGCCTTGTGCTCCCGATGGTGGGCATCAACAAGGGTCTGAAGAGCAGCTATCTCATCCCGAGACCGATCAACAATCCCACGAGCTACCCTTAGCTCGTCATGAAGAGATGTCAGAGATCTCTCGTTCTCAAGCTGAGCAAAGGCAAACTCAGCTCGATGCTTCGAGGCAGTGTCCGCCATTTGGAGACGCCTATTCCGCTCATGTTCGAGATCGTCGCGTAACCCTTGCGTTACGCGATCAAAGAAGCTCTCGGGTATACACCGATCCACATGATCGTGTGGAGAGCGTCTTTCCTCCTCCTCCACCTCCATTAGAGGACTCTCGCGGTGGCCAGCGCTATCTAGTTGAGCAGCTGTTGAACCACCGCGACGTGAACGGACGTCGGACGAGTTATCTCGTCCGGTGGCGCGGCTATCCCCCGTCCTGGGATACTTGGGAGCCCCGCTCCCAACTGATGATCGACGTACTGGATCTGGTTGAGCAGTACGACGCGGCACATCCTGTGCCGCAGAAGGACCGCCGGAGAAAGTCTTCCCGGCACGGTCGTAAAGGGATTTCAGGTTGTCAATCCCTTCGTACATCTCAGTAGAGACACGTACGCGCCACCACGGGCTGGTAAGGAGGTAAGCCTCCTTAGGTGCTCGTGCAGAGTTGTTCACACAACACGGGCACGAGTCTCCCCAAGAGAGGCAGGGTAATCCTTTCTCCCTTGACAGACGATGCAGCTTGTAGCGTGCACCTGTCGGGGTTCGCTTTTCAAACTTATCACGAGCTTTTATAAGTTTGTCGTTCCAAGCGTCACGACCTACATCCTCAAGGTTATGGATGTAGGGGTTCCACGCCTGAAGCAGTGAGGGAACATCACGTTTGTGATTCCCACTGTACCATAGATGTCTGAAGAAAGCATCGAGGAAGAATTCATGTTCAGCGCGATAGTTTTTCGCGCTGGGGTCAAGGTGATGGATCCTTGACGAATCGAACAATCGTGTTCGATAACGATCACTCGTCGTCGCCGACAAGTGATCCATGACGGATTTAGGAGGCATCCATGCCTTCTTTTCGGGAGCGAGACGCAAGACATTGCGGTCCCGCTCTTCCTGCGATGTGCCGACAAAAGGACTGGCACCTCGCTGTGAAGTGGTGTCCATAGGAGAACCGACACCACTATTAGCGCCCGAGTCTCGCGACCTCGAGCGCCTTCGCTTCGGCGATGGTTCATCTGATTCATCAGATGAACCAAAGATGCTGCGACGCAAAGCATCGTCCATGCCACGCTTGGCAGGCGGTTTGGATTCAATCGCCGTCGATACGGATCCATCATCCGTATCAGGAGAGTACGAGACACCGAGCTCGTACTCTGTGAAGACACGAGTGTCTTCATGACCAGCGCCTGCGTCACCAAGTGACACAGGCTGGGTCGCTTCAGCAACCGATGAGACATCAGTTGCTGTGGTTTCTGCTTCGGCGTCCGCACAGAGACGTGCGGACGCGCTCTCGGCAGGCCTTGTTCGCGCATCGCATGGGCTTGTTAACCATGCTATGAGATGTTGGGAAGTGGACTCGGACAAACAAGTGCAAACCCTGTCCCAAATCATTTGGGACGAGTATCCATTTAGTCAATCAGTCACTAAAGTGACTGATGGTTAGGGGGGGTGATGTAACGGGGTGAATCATTACATTACAATTTATAAGAAATTGTTAATAGAATATAACTATAAGAGTTATATTCTCAGAATATTGTCATAAGGACAAATATTCTGTAGCACTTACGAGTAGTTCCTAATTGGTTGATATAGGCCATTATATCAACGAACGAAGACGCGCCACGACAGACGCACGCAATGAGTGGTGAGCAGATAATTGATTTACACATTTGTATTTAGACATAGTTAGATGAAGATAAATAGTGATTTATTGCAGACATTAACTATACTAAATACAGTTCTACTTTTTACTTTAACCAAGTACTCGCTTCTTCTTACCGTCTTCCTCTGCACGTACGAGTGTACGTGAAGTTACGAGGCACCGCCTTATTCTGTCATCAGAATAAGTAGCTTGTACTGTCACCAGTACAAGCTTCAGGGTGCCCCGTTACACTTCTGCAGAAAACAACGCTTTCGAAGAACTTAAAAAGAGATGTCTGAAGTTTCTGTGCCAATCAACAAGATGCCAAGACTACGGCTGAGACTTTGGTGTGACCTGACTGTGTTGATACCCGCGTCCGTAGAAGGTAGTGTTAGACAAAGGAACTCAATTTGATACCGCTGAATTTTGAGAAATACTAGCTAGCTACGGGACAAGCCATAGCCTATTTCAAGTAAGAACTTCCAGACCAATGCTGTAACGGGGCACCCTGAAGCTTGTACTGATGACAGTACAAGCTACTTATTCTGATGACAGAATAAGGCGGTGCCTCGTGACTTCACGTACACTCGTACGTGCAGAGGAAGACGGTAAGAAGAAGCGAGTACTTGGTTAAAGTAAAAAGTAGAACTGTATTTAGTATAGTTAATGTCTGCAATAAATCACTATTTATCTTCATCTAACTATGTCTAAATACAAATGTGTAAATCAGTTATCTGCTCACCACTCATTGCGTGCGTCTGTCGTGGCGCGTCTTCGTTGGTTGATATAATGGCCAATATCAACCAATTAGGAACTACTCGTAAGTGCTACAGAATATTTGTCCTTATGACAATATTCTGAGAATATAACTCTTATAGTTATATTCTATTAACAATTTCTTATAAATTGTAATGTAACGATTCACCCCGTTACATCACCCCCCCCCTAACCATCAGTCACTTTAGTGACTGATTGACTAAATGGATACTCGTCCCAAATCATTTGGGACAGGGTTTGCACTTGTTTGTCCGAGTCCACTTCCCAACATCTCATAGCATGGTTAACAAGCCCATGCGATGCGCGAACAAGGCCGCCGAGAGCGCGTCCGCACGTCTCTGTGCGGACGCCGAAGCAGAAACCACAGCAACTGATGTCTCATCGGTTGCTGAAGCGACCCAGCCTGTGTCACTTGGTGATGCAGGCGCTGGTCATGAAGACACTCGTGTCTTCACAGAGTACGAGCTCGGTGTCTCGTACTCTCCTGATACGGATGATGGATCCGTATCGACGGCGATTGAATCCAAACCGCCTGCCAAGCGTGGCATGGACGATGCTTTGCGTCGCAGCATCTTTGGTTCATCTGATGAATCAGATGAACCATCGCCGAAGCGAAGGCGCTCGAGGTCGCGAGACTCGGGCGCCAATAGTGGTGTCGGTTCTCCTATGGACACCACTTCACAGCGAGGTGCCAGTCCTTTTGTCGGCACGTCGCAGGAAGAGCGGGACCGCAATGTGTTGCGTCTCGCTCCAGAAAAGAAGGCATGGATGCCTCCTAAATCCGTCATGGATCACTTGTCGGCGACGACGAGTGATCGTTATCGAACACGGTTGTTCGATTCGTCAAGGATCCATCACCTTGACCCCAGCGCGAAAGACTATCGCGCTGAACATGAATTCTTCATCGATGCTTTCTTCAGACATCTATGGTACAGTGGGAATCACAAACGTGATGGTCCCTCACTGCTTCAAGCGTGGAACGCCTACATCCATAACCTCGAGGATGTAGGTCGTGACGCTTGGAACGACAAACTTATAAAAGCTCGTGATAAGTTTGAAAAGCGAACCCCGACAGGTGCACGCTACAAGCTGCATCGTCTGTCTAGGGAGAAAGGATTACCCTGCCTTTCTTGGGGAGACTCGTGCCCATGTTGTGTGAACAACTCTGCACGAGCACCTAAGGAGGCTTACCTCCTTACCAGCCCGTGGTGGCGCGTACGTGTCTCTACTGAGATTTACGAAGGGATTGACAACCTGAAATCCCTTTACGACCGTGCCGGGAAGACTTTCTCCGGCGGTCCTTCTGCGGCACAGGATGTGCCGCGTCGTACTGCTCAACCAGATCCAGTACGTCGATCATCAGTTGGGAGCGGGGCTCCCAAGTATCCCAGAACGGGGGATAGCCGCGCCATCGGACGAGATAACTCGTCCGACGTCCGTTCACGTCGCGGTGGTTCAACAGCTGCTCAACTAGATAGCGCTGGCCACCGCGAGAGTCCTCTAATGGAGGTGGAGGAGGAGGAAAGACGCTCTCCACACGATCATGTGGATCGGTGTGTTCCCGAGAGCTTCTTTGATCGCGTAACGCAAGGGTTACGCGACGATCTCGAACATGAGCGGAATAGGCGTCTCCAAATGGCGGACACTGCCTCGAAGCATCGAGCTGAGTTTGCCTTTGCTCAGCTTGAGAACGAGAGATCTCTGACATCTCTTCGTGACGAGCTAAGGGTAGCTCGTGGGATTGTTGATCGGTCTCGGGATGAGATAGCTGCTCTTCAGACCCTTGTTGATGCCCACCATCGGGAGCACAAGGCTCTCTGCGAGATGCTTGAGCGCAAGGGCGTTCTTCATCGGAAGAAGCAGCGTACTGATGGTACGGCTTAAGCCGACCAACGTAAAACGTGGGATGCGTTCGCATCTTACGTGGTAACTCGATCGTGTATGCATTGCCTAGGCGGTGCAATACACGAAATGGGCCAATGTACTTGGGTAGTAGTTTACTGCTACCCAAGTTAGTCACTACATGCTTTGGTAGATTAACCGTAGACAGTAGGACTAAGTCACCTTTATTAAATAAAAGAGTGTTTGCCCTTCCATTCTTATCAGCGTTTTACTTTTGCTTATCCACCGCTTCGGCGATGGAATCTTGCACAAAACGGACTACCGTTTCACGAGCCAGTATGAACTCATCTGATGACTCGTTAGCTTCAGTGTGCTGTGAGTGCACTGCAGCAACATCAACCTTTTCTTCAGTGAGGGCTTCCGCACTCTCACTGGCATCATCTTCTTCGATATCGATGTTATCGATATCGGCATCAAACGCAATGACTTCTTCGTCAGAGCGTGATGAGCGTGAACCAAATCGGTTTTTGCTCGCGCGAGTCCCTCCCCTCCTTAAACCAGAGTCACACTCTAGTAAGGTGGGTACTCGCGGATGGCGTAAGCCATTCATGTAAAACGGTGTATGTGTCGTGGACGCATGCACCGAGTTGTTAATGGCAAACTCTACCATTGGCAAGAACTCACTCCAACTCCTAAAGGAGTGTACGTATCCTCGAAGTATCTCTTCAAGGACACGGTTGGCACGTTCCGTCTGACCATCTGACTCTGGATGATCAGATGTCGACATCTTCAAGCGCGTTCCGAGTGATTTGAACACGGAACGCCAGAAATCAGCAGTGAATCGTGGATCTCTGTCTGATACGAGTTCACGGGGCAACCCATGAAGTCGGAAGATGGTGTCGATAAAGACACAAGCACAGCCACTTGCCGTGATTGTCTCTGGTACAGCCACAAGGTGTACCATTTTGCTGAATCTGTCAACAAATACGAGAATACCCGTATTCCCGCGTGCGTCTTTGGGTAACCCAAAGACGAAATCCATTGAGATGGATTCCCAGCACTCAGCGGAACCGGTAGAGGCTGTAAAGGTGCACGCAGTGAAGGACTTGACTTCACTCGTTGGCAGACTTCGCATGCGCGAACATACTTTCGCACAAACTGATACTGGCGGGGCCAGTAAAAGTCTCGACTTACCGTGAGATATGTTTTCTCTCGGCCACGATGTCCTCCTATAGGAGCATCGTGATACTCGAACATGATCCGCAAACGCAGATCAGTATCATCTGGAATGACAACACGTGGTGTGTCACCAGAAACGGCTGTATAATACAGTAAACCGTTACGAGTAGTGTATCGATCTGATGCAGATCGATACGCAGACGACAATCGTTTCAACGATTCTCGAGATGGTTGGGAGAGATGTGTCAACAACTTCACTATCTCACCTTCTTGGGCGTATGCCCGCCTCACATCATCGTACAACGTTGTAGATGGGACTGAGGACGTCATAACCGCAACAGTGACTGTCTCACTGTTGGGTTTCGCGACTGTTTCAAAGTCGGGACGACGTGAGAGTGCATCAGCGACGACATTAAGTCGTCCTGGTTTGTACTCGACCGTAAAGTTGTATTCCGCAAAGAATGACAACCACCGCGCCATTCGTTGTGAAAGGTGCGGGCTGTTCACTGCCGTGCGTAATGACGCATGGTCAGTGTAAACAATGAAGGGTCTATCTCCTAATAGATAGACTCTGAACTTCGCGAGTGCATACTTCATGGCAAGGAGTTCCTTGTCATGCACTGGATAGTTCCGCTCAGCTGGTTGCAGCTGACGCGACTGATAGCAGACGACGCGTTCAACGCCTTCAAGATCGTACTGCATTAATGCACAGCCGATTGCGAAATCGCTGGCATCACAGACCACATGAAATGGCCTGTCCTGATTGGCAATTGCTAGGACTGGGGATTGTATCAAGCTATGCTTGATACCATCACAGGAGCGCTGACATTCAGCGTTCCATAACCACCTCTCGTTCTTTTTCAACAAACGAGAGAGGTGCACAGTCATCTCGGCGTAATTGCGTGAATACTTATGCAAATACGCCGCTAGCCCAAGGAATTTTCGAAGACCTTTGACATCAACCGGCACAGACCAGTTGGTGATCGCCTTGATCTTTTCGGGATCAGGACGTACACTGTTCTTACCAACGATGCACCCAAGAAGTGGTATTTCGCTTGCTGCAAATATACACTTCTTGAGGTTTGCATACAATTGATGCTTTCGCATGATTGTAAGAACTTGTCGGACGTGGTACCTGTGAACCTCAACGTCCGACTTTCCATCCATAGCTCGACTATGGATGAATACGTCATCGAAATAACTCGGCGCGAATTCTCGTACTGGTCTCAACAGATGTGATACACATCTGTTGAACGTGGCAGGGGCATTACTAAGCCCTTGTGGCATTACTAGCCATTCCCAGAGCATGCCGCTAGGCGTGCTAACTGCGGTATAGGGTATATCCCGTTCCCGCATAAGGATTTGATAGAAGCCATCCATCAAATCCATGGACGAAAAGATGGTACTCTTTGACATACCATCAATGATTACGTCCTTCCTCGGTATCGGCGTCTGAGCCGGTACCGTTGCAGCGTTCAATTTGTTGAACGCGTGCAATATCCGCCACCCTCCTGTTGCTTTTCGCACACAGAAGGTTGGAGAGCTGTGTGGGAAAGTTGATTCCCTCACATGGCTCGCAGCTAAACGATCGGCAAAGTACTTGTCGATCGCAAGTACTTGTTCACGAGGCAGTGGCCACTGCTTCATGACACAGTACTCCGAGCCTGGTTTAAGCTCGACCTCGTGTCGAATACCTTTATCCTTCGGTAATTCGCACGGAACAGTTTCAGGGAATACATCCTTGAATTCAACCAAATCTTCATAGAGAGGATTTTTCTTGAGCGATTCCCATGATTGGGAGTCATATCGCTCAATTCGTGTCTTTTCATCTAGGACACTCTCGTCCATAGATGAACTACTGAGAACTCTCTCGTTCTCAGTGAACACTGTTGCTGATGTCGGTTACACACTCGTCGTCAGCGACGAGTATGCAGATCTGCTTGACTTTGCCACTACGCAGATCACGCAAGAACCTTTTATGTTCGAGCGTTGGCAACTGAGTGATCTCCGAAGTTAACTTCGGAGGCGCAATCAGATCAATTGTATAAGCGCCTACACTTGATCCGTTATTGACTATGACATTCAATGTCTCTGTCATTTCCTGGGGACTTATTCCCTCAGGCTTCGAAGGACTTATTCCTTCGGCTTCCCGGGGACTTATTCCCTCGGGTTTCGGGGAACTTATTTCCGCCGTATTTGTATTATCGGGACTTATTCCCTTTACTTCCTCTAGCTGTGGTTGCGCAACCACAGCGAGATCCTCTACGAAAGACTCTCCAGTCGATCTAGGATTATCGTTTCGCTTAACCTGAGCGATCGATTGTTTCTCTTCTAGATGTTCCCCGCTAGGGATACATCTTTGTCCCGGTCCACTCGACTTATTCGAGTGGTGGACCTTCGGCGCATCCTGTGTTTCCGCACAGCCGCCGGAACTTTGCTCCGAAGTGTAACCGTTTGGTACACTAAGGTTTTGTGCAGTCGTACTAACGATCGTACCACAAGTGAGGCCATCGCACTCACTCGTAGTACATCCACACGCTTGTGGACGCTCCAAAACGTTCATCAGATGGCCATCTGATGAACAAGCGGCAGGCATCGTTACTGTTCGATGTTGCCAGTTTACCCGTGGTTCGTACCTTCTGAGCCACGATATTCCAAGGATGACATCAAATTTGTCATCCAAATCCAATACGATAAAGTCATCGTCGTATTGGGTATCTTCTAGCGTATAGTGAATCTTCACTTTTCGCTTCATGACGGTTACGGATGCGCCTGTCGCAAGACGTACCGTCATCCTCGTAGGAGGTGTGTCCCATTCACTGAATTTAAAGTGACCATCTTCTAGCGATTGGCGTCGCACAAAATTTTTGGACGCCCCACAATCGACTAGAGCTCGAAGGGACAACTTATTCGTCACTTCGAGTTTCAAGGTAATGAGTGAGACCTCATTACCTAGAGCAGCAACGCACAACGTTTGTGTGTTGGGAGCAACTTTCATCAAGAGGCCTACAAATTCTCTTGACGTTGCTGGATCAGTAGGGTGCTCCGCACCTACTGATCCTGTCCGTTTTTTGACGGTCCATCCCGTTGTTGCGTCTTTGCACCAACTGCGGACCCTCGTCCCTGCCCCTTTCTCATGGGTGGACGGTCACTACGCCCAGTGTCGCGAGACACTGGACGAGGGGCACTACACTCGTAAGCGTAGTGTCCTGTCTTTTGACATCTGTTGCATCTCTGCAACTTCTTGTAGCCTGTAGAGCGAGCCTTCTCGCTCTCTACATAACAGAGTTCCATCGGCTCTGGACCTCCGTTGTCATATCGTCTCGGTTGACGATATGATGTCGAGCTGGCGCGAGCCTGTCTCAGACTGAAGTCTTTCTGCTCCGCAATGGAAATGGCTTGTTCTAGTGAATCTAGTTCAAGCCGGAACAGGTGAGTCTTGACGGGACCATCCGCAAGACCCTGCATGAACACCGAAACCAACGTGTGTTCATCCACCGGATTGGAACTTATACAACTCGTGAGATGTCGTATATGTTGTGCTTAAGCGTGCACATCACGCTTACCCTGTTTGAGCTTCAAGAGTTCGGTTCGAGCCCTGAACTCAGCTCTAGGCGGTTCAAACGTTTATCTGAGCCGCGACTTGAAGACTTCCAGCGACCCAAACGCATATGGGTCGTGCAACTTGAGCCCCAGTGCCCAAGTCTTGGCACGTCCTGCCAGATTTGACTGGGCAAATGCAACTTGCATATCCCCGTCGTCGATGCGACGCGCCCTTATGGCGTCATCCAATTCGACGAACCATCTCAAGAGGGAGTTCTCTTCGACTCCCCTACACTTGGAGATGTCAACCTTCAAGGTTTCGGGTCGACGCGAGTGCATCGACCCGCCAGCAGCAGCCTGCTGCTGTCTCAACAGTTCAAACTGTTGAGCACCCTGTTCTCTCAACAACTCTGCTTGTTGAGAACCTTGTTGGTGAAGCAAGGCTACTTTCTCGCGTTCAGCGTCAAGTTCATTTTGAATGAACTTGGCGATAGTAGCATGTTGGGCATCTCTATTGAGAGCCTCTAGCATGATGCTAACAGCATGGATGCCCATGGTCGAACCCATTCGTTCAACCGCATCCCATTCGACATCGCTCAAATGGGAGTAGCCGTCACGCGTAGCGTGAAAGCTTTGGTCATCTTCATCATCCAACATATTCATGTTGGATGTGAACGCGGTCCTTGGACGGACTACGAAGTGCTACCAGGTGTAACGGGGCACCCTGAAGCTTGTACTGGTGACAGTACAAGCTACTTATTCTGATGACAGAATAAGGCGGTGCCTCGTGACTTCACGTACACTCGTACGTGCAGAGGAAGACGGTAAGAAGAAGCGAGTACTTGGTTAAAGTAAAAAGTAGAACTGTATTTAGTATAGTTAATGTCTGCAATAAATCACTGTTTATCTTCATCTAACTATGTCTAAATACAAATGTGTAAATCAATTATCTGCTCACCACTCATTGCGTGCGTCTGTCGTGGCGCGTCTTCGTTCGTTGATATAATGGCCTATATCAACCAATTAGGAACTACTCGTAAGTGCTACAGAATATTGTCCTTATGACAATATTCTGAGAATATAACTCTTATAGTTATATTCTATTAACAATTTCTTATAAATTGTAATGTAACGATTCACCCCGTTACATCACCCCCCTAACCATCAGTCACTTTAGTGACTGATTGACTAAATGGATACTCGTCCCAAATGATTTGGGACAGGGTTTGCACTTGTTTGTCC